GCAGAGCCGCAGAGTTTTTTTTAATGTATGAATGAATGTTAAAATTAGGTATGTGAATTACTTGAACAACAACAAACCCGAAAATCAGGCGATAAATTGCGTTAGAAATTTAAAATCACAGCAAATAAACCGCAAAACGTTTTTCATTTTGTTTTTGGTTTATTTCAACATTTTGTAGTTGTTGTTGCTTGAGGTCACGTTGAGCGGCCAACTACAATAATAATAATAATAATGCATAATGCATTATTAGATAAATGCCAGACATCGCGAATCGCGATATATATAACACGTTGAAGCAATGTGGCACATTTTGGCCAACACTTAAATATAATGTTAATGAAGGCGCGAGCGCATTTCGAAATAGATTTAAAAGTGTATGTATATATATACATATATATATATATGCATGTATATATAGCAAATTTTGTTGACTGACAAATTGCTCAAATCGATTCTCACCACGTGCCAACGAGTGCAAACTACGTGCCTCACCTGCAATTCATTTGATTTGATTTACACCCACACACCCACAACCAATAACAGGGCCTTTCATAGAACCAATAATGCCTAATTAGTTGATAACTGATAAGGCTTATCGCTTCACTGCTATCAAGTGCAGGCGCATCCAATTCAATTATTTATGACAAGGTAGCCAAAAACAACAACCAAATGTCCAAGTTAAAATTATAATGATATTGCTGTAAGACTTGTTTATTAACATGGTCGTAACATGCCAAGCAACTGCTGGCTGTAAACCGGAGTAACTTCTACATTAACATCAATTTAATATGTTAAGCAGCTGCTTTGGCGTAATTATGGCTAAACTTTTGCTTTTAGAACATGTTAATTAGTTCGCTGTTAAAAAAGGAACAAATAAATGTTAAACTGATAAGAACACTAATTGCGGTATGAAAAACGTGATTTCATTTTTTTAAATAAACGAAAGTATTAATCGATTTTTAAGTATTTAGCAAATTTAATTGCAAATGAAATTACTGAAATATAATAACTATTTTTCTTAATTATTATAATTACTTATACACTGCTGAATAATTATTCAGATTAGTAGAATTTTTATTGATATTTTTCCACAATTTCAATTGCAATTTTAGGATATAAATTTGGATTTATGTTAGTAAATTCTTACAAAATTAAATCATAAATGCCTTCAATTATTTTCCACATCAACAAGTTAAAATTTTATAAATATTTACATCGATATTCAAGTATAACTCTAGATTTCTGTTCAAAATTTCTTTCCAAATTAAATCGAATCAAAATTCCAAAAATATCTGAAATAATTTCCACATCAATCAATTAACATTTGATAAATATTTGCAAAGATTTTCAATAGTCACTCGAGCAGTAAAATATCTAAAAATATTTCCGAGTGAAAAGTAAATGCTCATTTGACTTATCGATTGATTGCTTTTTATATATGAATATCTAATATATAAAATGCCCATCAAGTGAATATGAATTCACAAATATGGAGAAAATTGTTAACTAATTGGCCCACGCCCACACTTAAAAGAGATATGTATGTCTGAATGCGTGTGATTGTGAATATGAATAAGCGCATAAATGACGAATAATCGTATATCGAGTGTGTTGTTGTCGTCGTTGAGGGGTTTCTTCCCGCATATAACACTTATCGCTCAATTTATATATTTATATGTATGATATATACAATTGTAAGCATATACATATATGTATATAAATATCATTTCCTGTCAGCTTGGTCATGAGTTCCCCTATCCTGATTACTGATTAGAAGAATCGTACGATATTTGCATTTGGTAGCTTATTACAGGCTTTGCAAAACTAATGAAAATTATCTTTGACTTGTTTCATGACATGCGATAAGCAGTTTGGTAGTTAACAGTTTGTCCTGATGTTAAATTTGCACATGTTTATGTTACCTATGCCTGTATAGCTTGCAGTTGCAGTTAACATTAATATGCATGTTAAATAACATTAGCATTCATGTCAGTGCTACCGAACAGCTTTAGCTGCTTGCTGTCTTTCTCATGCGCCCTTCTTTTCATAATGTTATCAATGACAAAAAACTGCTGATCGAGCTCAAGAGTCCAAGTTCATTGTATATGCGTAACGGTAGTTAAATGTTGCAAAAGTCAACTCAGAGGCCAAGCTAAAAAATAAACATGCGAATAAATAAGTATACAAATATATAAGTATATATATTTAAATAATTAATTGGCATTTGGAAGGGTTGCGATCTCTGCTGTGCTGGTTCATTTGAGTAAATTAACAACTGCAATTGGTTTGCACTTTAACATAGGCAACGCAACTCGCTGATTAGCCGTTGCTATAGCCGTCAACTGTTAGTCGTTCCCTGCTATTGCATTGTTGCAGTTGCTGTAAACGAGTTTACTCCTGCTTTGCCCTTACTTGTAGGCGATTGTAAAACAGCAAATGATTCACATAACAATCACGCCACAATAATAGCACTCATCTGTTATACGAGCACACATACGTAGGTATATATTTATATTTATATATATGATAAGTGTTAAATGCAATTGATTGCATTGCGTCTCCTGATTTCAGTGTCGCTGTAAACAATGGAAACTAAACAAATCTATGGAAAATTCTTGTGAATTGGCAATAGAATCAGAAATAAACAGTTATTAAAGGAAATCGAAACTGTATGCTGATGTATACATCTAGAGCTTGAAACGAAACTTGTCGAGACTGGTAAAACCGTTCCGATATACCCAAGACTTACTCTATTTAGTACAATTTTAAAGTGAGAAGAAAAGCTTTAGCGTATCTAATCACGTCAAATGGATTTCAGTTGCTTGTAGATTTCTAACCATTTTGACAGCTGTATATGGCTTTGAAATTTGGTTTGCATCACGCCATATCGGGCAATACGTTTCGCATACAAGTGTTAGATTATAGTTAGAAACAACTGACGAAGTGCCTTACCGATTACTTTGCACCCATTCAAAGTGGTTCCTAGGTGCAAGGAGAACACTAAAAATCTGATTCAGATAAGAAAAGTCCATTAGCGCAGGTTCTACGCTACCAAGCAAATGTAAATACGAATTAGTCAGACGAATGTTTCTCTTAGTTTGTGCGCACAGCACTTAAATTCGGTAAATACGTCAGAGTTTTTAGTATGTTTACATTTATGACGTAACAACAACAAATTAATCGTATATGCTTTGTGCTATCAGTTAGTAGTAGGAAAAATTCAAAAGTAAATCAAGAGAAACACAGAGAGAGAGCGAGATGAGGAGAGAGCTCTAGGCATCCAACTGGTGAAAGTGACGTAGCAGCTAGCAATTAGCGCATCATGCGGGTCACGCTTCTTCTATCGTTGGAATGTGTCACTTTCTGATAGGACAGTCCAATTGGACAATGGCATTGCACTTACCCGCAATTGTGAATCGATCCATGTAGTTGATGAGATTAACAAAGCATAGCACCGATACGGCAAACCATTGTTTACGGGATATACCCGGTCTAGATCGGGGCTCAGGTGCGATGCTAGTTCCGCGTAGATGCTGACGTTCCATAGAATCCGAGTCGGACGAAACGAGCTGTTGTGACGAGTATGTCGGAGGTAACCCGCTCTGAACTAGTTCGGCAACGTCATCATTGCTCCCGCTGCTGCTGCTACTGTTGCTCATCGCCGGATTGTCCATGGCAGCTACGGCAGATGGTAGCGGTTGATAGGCTTGTTGGTTTTTCAGCGACATTCACGTGCCTTGCACTCGTGCACATACACACGCTCACTCACTCACACACGTTGAACGAAAGTTCCTTAGTATGCACGGCACCAAAAAACTTGCAGCAACAAATTTTGTATTTTTGCAATATCTTGCTCTCTCTTTGTCTTGAATACGCGCGCACATACAAGCACACACGCACACACACTCGCGCTTCAACGATGCCGCGTTAAACACACGCGATGCACGAATTTGGAGGAAGCAAGAATGAGAAAAATTGTGTCGGTGGCAAATTTCTATCCGCCGCTCTCTCGCTTCAAATATTTTGGCTACGTTTCAACTCTTGCACAGAAATTAGTTGTTCTTTTTTTCAACTTGGGCACTTATTTAGCCTTTATATTTATAACTTTTATACTTTGACTAATTGAATGCGGTGTTGTTTCTGTGTGCATTTGCGGTGCTTCTTTTTACTATTATTTATAATTATTATTACTATTAGTCACCCGCTGTACGTCCGCACACGTTCAACAATCTTAAACAACTATCGAATCGATGGCATTTCGTAAAACTTAACGAATCACGTACTGTTATTAACAGTCATCGCCTACGTGTAATAAAATATTCTGTTACTTAACATATATCGAATTTAAACTCCGACCAGGTGGCAGCGCTGTGTTTTATAATCGGCGGCATTTTAAAATTTTTGTCTTTTGATGAGTATCGTGTTATTTATTTAAACTATAAAGTGAGTGGTTAATTTATTATGAAATGCTTTTTAGTATGCTCATTCAATATCCATTTCATCAATGCGCCCACGCACACGATTCTTGCGCTTGTGTTTTTTGGTAGGTGGTGGCAAAAAACTCTCAAGAAACTCGATGGTGGTCAAAATGGTCTCTGAACTGACATTGCCAATGTAGTTCTTATCAAAATAGACAACGGGCACTGGCGGTTCCGTTGCTACCAGCTTTTCACAATTACAAGTTTCCTTCTGCTTCTGCGCCTCCAATTCCAGTTCCGTTCCATTAGATTTATCTAAAAATGTTGGTTAAGTAATTGGATTGAATTAGCTAGATATAGACCTACCAAAGATGGGCCGAAAACACTCCTTAACCTGTATCCACTTGGTGCAGAATTGCTTAATAAAACTGTCATTCTGATGAAAGAAACTCTTGGCGGCATTATCCACGCGCGCCTTCATGAAGCCTGGCACATAGGGCCATTTCCCCTTGGCGGCATAGAAACAAATGATATCTGAAAGAGATGGGTATCAAAAGGGAGACACAGCAGCCAGCCAGTCTTCACTGTACTTACAGGGCACATGAAACAGATGGAGAAAAGTGCGCTGATGCTCCAGGCTGGAGATCAGATGGATGCCACCTGGACGTCTGCCCTTCAGGCTGGCTGCACGCGGCTGCATTCGCTTAAAGGGTATCTCCTCCACACGCACATTGTCCAAATAGGCCTCACTAATGGTCAGCAGGAAACTCAGCAGGAAGAGTGGCAAAATCCACAAAACTATTTTCCGTGCCAATTTCATGCTGAACTTGTCGACTCGCACTCGCAACGGCAACTAATGACAGCAAGTGTCGTTGCTGGACTCAAAGGACTCACAGGACTTCCGGAACTTTCGCTTTATTGATTATAATTGTTGACACAAATCGCTGAACTGCTGAACCGCTGAACCGTTGCATGTGCAACACGCCTAGACAGTCCACTGAACTTTGAGCCAAATACTTGAATGGCTTCAATAATAAACAAGTACCCTACCTGGAGTCCAGTCGCGTCTGGTCAGGTCCAATATTATAATATGATCGGCCAAGTGGAATCCAATCGTTGGCGCCATCAATCTGTGCCGGCTCGCAAAAAGTTCAGACAGTCGAGCCAATAAATAAACTCAATTGTTTATTAAATCACAATTCACGCGCATAAATAACAATCACAATTTCTTCGTACTCTACTCAAATGTCAGTTTAGAGCTAACCGTTATACTCTTATTGAAAGTTTTGATATTATTTGAAAATCATGAGTCTTCTTAGACTTTCTTGTGTACCTTGTTTGTCCATATATTTCTTTCTCTATCTATCTACCTTTTTGCACTTCTTTCGATTCAGTCCATTTTTTTAATATTTGTTCTGTCTATACCAGCATCCTTCCGTCCGTCCGTTTTTCTGTCCAATCGTCTGCCCGTTTATCCATCCTTCCGTCTGTCTATCCATCTTTTCGTTGCTCGATCGTTCCTCCTCATGTCCGCCTGTTTATCTATCCGTACGTCTATCCTTCCGTTGAATAGTCTATCCATCCATCCTTCTGCTAGAAGTCCAGCCCAGTCCAGTTGGTCCAGTTGGTACTTTTACTCCTTTATCCAACCGTCCGTTTGTCCTTTTATCAGTTTCTCCCTAAGTTTTTATCTCTTCGCCTAAAATCTCTGCCGTTTGTCCGAACGTCCGTTTCACTTTTACTATTATTTAAACACAATTAGTTGATTAAAACTGTATTAAATTAATCTGAACTTTAGCAGACTTTGGTATGACTCAGAGTATTTCCGCTTCGACTTGCCTTGAATAGTCGCTCTCTAGCTGGTTCCTCTATGTTTGTATTAATGGGCGGCAGGTGTCGGTTGACGTATACGCAATGTGAGACTCGTTTTTTGCCTTAGTTTAGAATATTTTTATTTATTTTTTATTGCCATTTAGCGCCTGAATGGGTCTATTCCAGTGGCACGCCCCCCTCTTTGTTGTAGTGCATTGCAGCGTGTTGGAGGCTGGCGAGCCAGCCAATGGGGTTAGCAATGAATCAATTGAGCAATCAATTCAATCAATTCGTCAATTCAATCATCCGGCTTCGGTTGAAAGAAAGCCTCAGACGCAGCTTGAGATCGGATAGCTCGTCGCGAATATGCTAATGAATGTTAATCAATCACAAGTCAATAATTATATGACGTTTGAATAAAGGAGAACAACAACAACAACAACGAAAGTGGCAAAAAAAGTGAACTGATCCAAATACATACATAGTATTTCGATTTACAGATATATGCAGTGAATATCTCAGCAGCTAATGCAATTGTAGCCGATAAATTTCCATAAGAGCCCCAAACGTGGGCACGTGTCAGGGGCAGCGCTATATATAGACCGAGAGTCCGCTCTTATCAGTGTGACACACTTGCAAGTCACATACCTAAATATTACAAACAGTCTAATGAAATTCCCATTGAATTAGACAGCCAGCCATAAAAGAAGAAGAAGAAGAAAAAAACTCATTGACAAGCAGCGTGTGTAATTGGCTAGAAATTCCTAGTGCTAGAAGCAAAGCCCTCACTGGGGTTGCTCTGACGTCTTATACCGAAGTAAGGCTACCTAATTTAGTTACTTGCTCTGGCTGATGGGAATGGCCTACCTATCAGTCAGTCAATCAATCAATCTGTTAGTCAATCTGGGCAGTGAAAAGATTTGACTCTATCAATTCCTTATTTACAATCAGCTGCTGTTTCGTAAGACCCTCAATCAGTCAATCGATCAATCTATTAATGCATCCGTCAGTCAGTACATCAATCAATCAATCAGCTCGGCCGTCTTTCAATCAGTCAGTCAGTCAGTCAGTCAGTCAATCATTCAATCAGTTAAATCAGCTAATCATTCATGAAATCAATTTGTCAGATTTTCCATAAAATCCATTTAATTAATCCAAATATTCATAGAAATATTGGACTGTTCTATTCTATATCTTAAAACAACAATTGTTGGCATAATTTTATATTCTATTAAATTAAATAAATTAAGTTTCTCTCTCTCTCTCTCTCTCTCTCTCTCTCTCTCTCTCTCTCTCTTCTTGTTTTAGTAACGCTTTGGTTCGCCTAGTATATCATTCCAGAACTTGGCGCTAGTTGAGCGGAAATTTTGCGAAACGTTCACCTCGAATTGTTTCGGATCGTTGGGCGCATTGTCGAACACGTGATGATCGCAAATGCCTTCGGGTCGTGACTCCAGAATGCTTTCCGTGCATCGCATCAGAGTTTCCGCATTTCTCGGTTTGCTGTTAATGAAAGCAATTCATTATAGAGCTGGGGCGCCACACAGATAGCGCTAGACAGATAGACTAGACCTACCCGAACTTGGCGAAGTGCACAAAGTAGCCCACGAGCGATTCGACAACGCGCGCCTCCGTCGAGTTGCGCTCAAAGTCGGGAAAGAGCATGGGACTGCGGAAGAGATAGATCAGATCGTCGCAATGCACGACGCCGTATTTGTGGCCGACATTGGCGCTGGTAAAGACGGAGGCATAGCTGAGGGGGCCCTGGTAGTTGAAGCTGTACAGGTACAGTGGCTGCTGGCTAGCGCGAACCGGGCTCAGGTGCTGCCAGATGGCATTGTGCAGTGGCTGCTTGAAGCCCCGGTCCGAGATGAGCTGTCGAGGGAAGAGAATGGAAATGAAGTTTCCCTTTTCGGTTTTGATTTCCCGATTTCCCCCTCGTTCGCTTACATCGAGGAAGCCCTGCACCGTCTGCTCGTTCAGTTCGTGTATGTTCCGGAAGTACTTTTCGATAACCAGTTGCATGGTCTGCGCCAGCTGCTCCGCGCTGAACTCCTTGGGCAGCTCGAGCAGCTCCTGGAGCAGCTCATCGAAACGCGCATTGAAGTCCTGGCGCAGCGTCACGTTCTCCATTATATTGACCACCCGGACGGCGCCCTCCTGGGGCACGGTGCTCAGCAGCCAGGGCACTTGCTGGTAGCTGCCCTCGCTCAGCAGCTGCTTCGGGTGGACGGAGAGGAAGGCGTCCTCGGAGCTGGGCTCCACCACCGGGCGATAGTTGGACAGGTGATCGACATTCCAGAATTTCAGACCATCGCCGGCATTGAGCAGAGTTTGCACATCCACGGCACGCAGGGCGCGCGCCAGCTTGGGTGTGCTCAGGTTCTGGGCGTTCTCCACCTGGCATAGCTCGGCGGTGCGACGTGCCTGCTGCAGTGGCTCCTGCTCGATGGCAAAGGGCACATTGGCCGTGCCGCTCATGCTGATCACCTGCTGGAAGAGGCCCGCCGATCTGCTGCTCAGCATGTGCAGGTGCGTGGCCACGCCCCCCGCGCTCTGGCCAAAGATGGTCACACGGCGCGGATCTCCACCAAAGAATTTGATGTGCCGCTGCACCCAGCGCAGCGCCAGCTGCTGATCCTTGAGCCCGAAATTGCCAGGCACAGCCGAATCCTGCGTGGACAGAAATCCTGTAGAGAAAGTTTGAGTTTAGCTGGGATTTCCTCTTAAACTCTATCATCTTTGGCTCACCCAAGGCGCCCAGGCGATAGGCCATGCTCACTAGGATCACCTCGCCCGTGTCCATGAAGTACTCGGGTCCAGTCAGCTGCGGCCCAGCCGAGCCGCTAAAGAATCCACCGCCATGTATGTAGACCATGACTGGCAACGGCTGCCTGGAACGACGCTGTGACAGTTCGTTAGACGAGTGCCGGATTGAGGAAGATGGAATGGATGAATCCCGACTTACCTCTGGCCTATACACGTTCAGGTACAGGCAATCCTCCTCGCCGTAGATAAGCGGCGTGGGCAATAGATAGTTCTTCTGTATGCAGTCCGGCTTGGCTACGCTTGCATTGTAAATGCCACGCAGCTTGGGCATTACTTTGGGATTCTGCAGAGAAGTGGAAGATAAGATTAGACGGCGGACAAAAGGAGTTTGAAGAGGTGCTTAAGCCAGATTAAGGAAATGCTGCAATGTGGGACAGTCTAATGAATTTTAACACTTGAGGCTTAGAAAGTGGGAAGGGCTTAAGGTAATTGACTTAAAGAGATCAAGAAGTTTAAGAGTTTAAGAAGTTCAACAGTTCAGGAAATTATATTAAAATATTTAAGGAGCTCAAGTAACTTCTTAGTAATCTAAGAAGTTTCGATTTGTGCATTTTTGGGGATATTGAGAAGTCGAAGTTTCCACAATTAGTAAACACAAGAAGAGTCTCCATTTTTGAAGACATCAAATATTTGAGAAAGTTATAGCAAGTCAAGGAATACTGAGGGTCTCAGAGTTTCTAATTCTGGAGCTTAAGATGTGCACAAATATGAATGAAGAAACCATTTAAGGTGCTGCCCGATATAAACAGTTCTTGGAGCTTTAGGAACCTCAAGTCAATTAAAAAGTTGTATATTCCTCTAAGAGATCCATAAGATTGTGGACTTACAGAGCTGCAGAATTTAAAAGCAGTTAAAAAAAAGTCTTAGAACTCTTAGACAGATCTATAGCAATTTAAAACTTTAACAATTTAAGGAACTTTATAAGTATGAACAGCTCGAAAGCCTCAAGAAGTTCAATGGGTTAAGCAGCTCAAAGAGTTTCATAAAAGAGTTTAAAAACTTATAGGAGGCTAGACAGTCTTAGGAGATCAAGCTATAGTATAGAGACTAAGCTCCTTAAAGAGTTCAAGGAACCTGGAAAACTTAAAGTGGCTTATAGAGAATAAGCTTCATAAAGAGTTTAAGGAACTTAGGCAACTTAAAGAGCTTCAACTAACTTAGGGAGACTAAGCAGCTTCAAGGGTTAAATGAGTTTTAAACATTTTGGGAAGTTTAGGAAAAAGTTCAGTTCAAAGAAAGTTAAGGGGCAGCAGCAATTAGTTTAGTTAAGGATTTACTCACGCTGAATCGCAGTTTTCCGACTGGCGGCAAGGCGTAGGGAATGCCAAGAAAAGCCTCGAAGCGCTTGATCTGATAGCCCGGCATGTAGATGCCTTTGAGGCAGCCCAAGCTGCCGCCGCAGACAATCAAGGCCTTCTGGGCGACAGCAATTGATGGCGTCGATTGGCCAAAGCCGAGCAGCAGCAGCAGCAGCAGCACCGACAGCGAAGGTAAAGTAAATCCCGCATGAATCATGTCTGATCAGAGATGGTTAGTTATCGTTTGTCTGCGAAAGAAATCGAGACACATTAATTAATTTTATGCATAGCCCATTTAAATGATGTAGTCATTTGTTTATGGCCAAAAAAAAAGAAGAATAAGATAAAATACAAATAAAATAAATAAATAAGAGCTTCTTTTTTACCGATGATGTCAACGGCTCGAAATTGTTATTCCCACGAATTGAAGGCTCTGGCCACTTACCAGATTGCGCGCTCAGCTCAATATGCGATCGACCCTAGATGTAGTTCGATTCGGATCGTAACTAACTGAAGCGTCTAAGCACGAGCTTCTAGCACGGCAGCGTACGAAATTTATCTGACGGCTTTGTAAGCTAAAGCATTCAGTTTTATGCAAGAAAAATATAAATGAATATATATATGAATAAATAAGAAAAACTTTGCGTTCTCTCTGTGTATGAGTGTGTGTGTGAGTGTTTGTGTGTGTTTGTCACGCTTTTAGCAACGGTGGCTCACATGAAATATGTGAAGCCAAAGTTGTTTTTTTTTTTGCCGTTGCTGTGCTTTGATATTCAATTGAAATTTATTCAACGGGCGCACAGCACACAGGGCGTATGCTTAATCAAGTCAACCCATACCTGCTCCGAGCACTGTTCAGCCTAGCAGCCTCTATCTCCAACCGCAACCACAGCCAGAGAGGTTGCAAGCACAACTACGATCGTCTCGGCGTTTCACTTTCACTTTTATCCTGTTGCGACTCTCCACTCCCTGTTGCTGTCTCCTTCTCTCTCTCTCTCTCTCTCCCGCTCRCTTCATTCTCTTTGATTTGGGTTATTCTGATAAGACGTCGTTGCCCATGCTCTGTGGCTCTTCAGTTCTTTACACGATTGTGGCGAAACGTTTTTTCTTTCCCTTTTGTAACAGACTCAAATGTACAAAAATCTCTTCACTTACATATGTTCCATATGCATGATACACCCATGTCCACACTAATGTGTACATACATCCAGTTTCTCTGCTGTTTACAATTTTTTTTGGATGTTGCTCTCAAATTATTTAATTATTATGGTGATAATTGTATTATTCATAATTATAAATCACATGCGTGATTAGTCAACCAGAAAGAAGAATAGAGCTACATATGGTAGGCTATGCTATGGTGGGCATAACAACTACCCTCTCTTTTTTGGGTAAAACTCTTTCTATATTGATCTCTTTATTCTTCATATAATTAGCACAACACCGGCCCTCAAATTTATTCTTTGATAATAATACATCATTACGATGTTTACGGCTTTTGAATGGCCTCAACATAAATCTTGATCGCACAAGTAGCTCTATTTGCATGCACAGCACTGTCGCCGCATGCGTGGATCATACTTTCCATTGTGATTGAGCACGGATATATAGTTAGTTTTATTGTTGCGTCCTATAGTTGGACAATATGTAAATTCATTTGACCTTCGTCTGCACTGAGAATGAGTTCGAGTGCAAAATAGGTCAACGCAGCTGCAGTCTCAGCCTCAGCTTGAGCTTCAGCTTCAGATACAGTTTCTGCTTCTGCTTCTGCTTCAGATACAGTTTCAGAGACAAATTCCTTAAGATATTCGTTTGGAGCGGGCGACACATTATCATTATATATATGCACATATATATACAACTATTCATTGACGTGAATATATTTATTATCTCTTGATACCATGTAAAGCAATGAATACCCTGGACGGTAAGAACATGGGTAATATTAATGCAACTGTATGACGATTGTGCAGCAGATATATTGAAAGCTAGTTTTTTGTTTATAAGCGTCTAACTTTGGGATTTTAGAGAAGAAGATATTGTTATTATTAGTTATTGACCTTTCCAATGTCCTTCTCTACGATTCTCATTAAGTCAAGTCATGTTTAGAGTTTTACGAACTTATTTTTTGGCTATAGAATGACAAAGGTGCAACAAATTTTTAGCTTTAGGCATGACTATTCTAATGGTGAAATATTGTTCATATGCTTTACGATTTCTTCTACAAGTATAGCTTCTTCCATATAGCCAATGTACGCATATCCACACGCTTCTCAACTGTCTCTTGATAGGCCCCATTCAATTGTCCCAGACGGAGATAGTTACACATTTCATCAGCGGTAAAGTCCTCAGATTTGCAGGGCTGCAACTGAGTGTCATCAGGGAGAGTGCTGAAATTATATAAGCAGATGAATATAGATGGAGAACGGATAATGGAATGGATAATCACATAAACATATTCATCGATATGGAGATAAATATGGATTGAAAGACTGTCACGAAAATGTTAAGAATGTTAGCTCAACCTACCCATTCCAGGCGAACTCCACCAACAAGGAAGTCAAGCGCTTGGTGACCACATCATTTTCGGAGCCCTTTGGAAAATCTGGAAAGAATATGGGCATTCGTATTGTGTGTATGGCATCATCCATGTGAGATGCGCCCAACTGCTCAAAAACTACTCCGCCCGTAAACAATGCGCCGTAAGTTATTTTGCTGGTAAACTCAAAGCTATAGATGGAAACTGGCTGCTGAGCATATTCCGCGTAGCTGGAGGCTGACACATAGACCGGATAGGTGAATAAGAAGTCACCCAGAATACCGCATAGATCCACCAATGTATTCTCATTCAGTTGCATTTCCTTTACGCCGTACATTTCCAGGATATCCTGCACAGTTTCCTTGGTGTGGCCCTTGGGTAGATACATCATCAAGCCGAAGAGCTCCAAGAAGTTCTCGTTGAACTCCTTCAGGAGCTGCGGATTCATATAGATGTGCATGATAAACAAGGCTCCCTCGCCAACGCGCGAGGTGCTGCTCAGCAGCCAGGGCACCTGGTTAATGCGTCCGGCCATATGTGCCGGAATGGGATACTCAGTTATAAAGGGCTCAGGTGCATCTGGCTGTTCCACAACTGCAGCATAATTGATTATGGGTACGCTATCCCAACGCTTGAAGACATTGCCGGCCTCCAGCAAATCGTTGGCATCCGATGCACGTAGAGCTGCAGCCAATGCCTGCGTGTCAAGGGACTTGGCATCAGCCACGCCCACACGTTCCGCCAGCTGTTGAGCCCGCTCAAGTGGGTTGTAGACCATTGTAGTGCCCAGCATCGCTGTACCGCTCAAGGACATTGAACGGTGGAAGAGTCCTGTGGGAGAAACAGTCAGCTAGTTAAAGTTCCTTCGAGATCTACTCACCATTCGAACTGGGGCTTAGCATGAGCAGGTGCGTGGATACTCCACCCGCGCTGTGGCCAAAGATGGTCACCAGATTCGGATTGCCGCCGAAGGCCGAAATGTGTCGCTGCACCCATTGCAGAGCCAAGCGTTGATCCTTCAATCCGAAATTTCCAGTCATGTGAGCATCTCCAGTGCTCAGGAAGCCTATGTAAGGAATATTATGATTAAATAGTTACCAATTCCTATTTGATTTCCTCTAATACCAAATGGACCCAATCGATAGCTGACTGTAACCAGAACGACCTGCTGCGTATCCATCAGAAACTCCGGTCCGCTGGCCAAGGGGCAAGCGGAGCCACAGAGATAGCCACCCGAGTGGATGTAGACCATAACAGGCAAAGGACCTGCTTTGCCTTGCTACAAGCAGCCAAATAGAAATTGTTCGAAGAACTTTAGCCTAATTGCACTTACAGGTCGATAGACATTCAAATAGAGGCAATCCTCCTCTCCAGAGATGGGCCAACCAGGCATGAAATAACACTTTTGCAGGCAATGGCTGCGTGGCGCGCTGGCATCCAGGACACCCGTCCAGGCACCCGCTGCTACAGGATTCTACAAGGATATCCAACTTTACCGTGAGCTCTTACACCTTGAACTAGTTCACCTTAAAGCGTAGCTCTCCTATCGGCGGCTTGGCGAATGGTATTCCCATAAAGGCTTCGAACTGCTCCTGTCTGGAGTCCGGCATCAGGGTGCCATGCAGGCAACCCAAATCCTCGAGGCACACATCCAAATCAGCTTGAGCTCTGTAGCCAATAGTTAAAAGTAATATCAAATAGAGAATAGTCTTAGCCATCTCGAATCGCGTTATAATGAAGACATTAAATGCTCTAAACGCTGCGTGCTTTTATATAGTTTTTCGATTCGAACTATTTGCATGTTCACATCCCAAGGGGCGTGTCCAAAAAAGTTTAGCAAATACAATCATGCTCAATTTCAAATCAAATTATATATTTGTTAAATTGTGGTTGCGATTGGCTAATCAGCTTTGCAGGCGATTTGTATTTCCACAATACAAAAATGAATTATTGTATATTGCTTTATTTAATTATTATTATAACAATAGTTAACAATCAAATTTTAATTATAAATTAATTTATAAAGGGCTAACAAGGGGTATATGTAAGTTCTCAGATAATCCAACTCAGTCATGTTAATTGTTAACTAAAAATAAATAAATTTTAAAAATTAAAAAAAAAAAATCTTGTAGTTCTACCAAATGTAGCAAGCGCTTAGTAAAACTAACACAGCCTATTATCAAATATATCAAACCCCGATTGCCATTTGAATACTATTCTTGACTTAACATTTCCCTAAATGCAAATTAAATATATAATATATATTTGGAAATAATGACATGCTATCAAATAAGTTCATTCAATGTTCATTGTTGATTTATTGTTAACTTTTAATAAATTACATATTTCCCATATAATTCATTCAGAGTAATTGTGGAACTATAGATTAGGGTATTATAATACAATAATAAACTATATAAGCTAGCTGTATGAAGTAATTTCACTTTTCTGGTTCCCGCTCAGACGCTGCAGTAAATTGCCCAGCGCTCTACTCTGCGATTCTCATAAGGAAAGGTAAGGCTTAGAGGTTTTTTTGGCTCGATTTTGCTGTTTAATTTTTATAGTTGTAGAATGACAATCGAAATTTGATTTAGTAATTAGTAATTACTATTTTAATAGTGACTATTCTAATATTATAATGTTATTCATATGTTTTAATATTTTGTCTATAAGTAGAGCTTCTTCCACATAGCCAATGCGCGCTTATCTACGCGCTTTTCAACTGCCTCATGATAGGCCCCATTTAATTTTGCCATGACAAAATAGTTGCATATCTCATCATCCTTAAACTCCTCAGATTTACAGGGCTGCAAATGGGTGTCATCAGGGAGAACGCTGAAATATAATATATACATATATTATTAGATGGGAATTATTCAGAATTTTCGCTCCACCCACCCATTCTTGGCAAACTCCACCAATAAGGAAGTCATACGCTTGGCCACCTTTGCATTTTCGGAATCCTGTGGAAAGTCGGGAAACAATGTCGACATTTTCAGAGTGTGTACGCCGTCATCCATGTGACATGCGCCCAGCTCCTCGTTAACAAGTCCGCCTCCAAGTAGGGCGGCAAACGTGTAATTGCTGGTGTATTCAAAGCTATAAATGGAAACCGGCTCCTTGGAATATTCCGCGTAGCTGGCGGCGCACACATAGACTGGGTAATTGAACATAAAGTCACCCAGAATACCGGCTATATCCACCAATGTGTTCTCATTCAGTTGCATTTCCTTCACTCCATAGATTTCCAGGATCTCTTGAACGGTTTCCTTGCCGTGGCCCTTGGGCAGATACAGCATCAGCCCAAAGCGCTCCAGGAAATTTTCATTGAACTCCTTCAGGAGCTGCGGAGTCGTATAGATTTCCATGAGGAAGAATGCGCCCTCGCCTACGCGTGAGGTGGTGGTCAGTAGCCAGGGCACCTGGTTGATGCGACCGGCTTGGTGGGCCGTAATGGGATACTCGGTAATGAAGGGCTCGGGCGCATCTGGCTGTTCCACAACCACGCCGTAGTTAATTTGAGGCAATTTATACCATTGCTTTAAGACATCGCTGGCTTTCAGTAAATCGTTGGCGTCCATTGCACGCAGAGCTGTGGCCAACGCCTGGGTGTCTAGGGTTTTGGCGTCAGCCACGCCCAATCGTTCCGCCAGCTGCCGAGCCTGTTCAAGTGGATTGTCTGGCAGTGTAGCCACTATCATCGCCGTGCCGCTCAAGGACATGGCGCGGTGGAAGAGTCCTGCGGGATGGGAGAGTCAGATAAAGGCAAAAATTCCTGCGAGATCGACTCACCATTTGAGCTGGGGCTCAGCATGTGCAGGTGCGAGGATATTCCACCTGCGCTGTGGCCAAAGAGGGTCACCAGATTCGGATTGCCGCCGAAGGCCGAAATGTGTCGCTGCACCCATTGCAGAGCCAAGCGTTGATCCTTTAATCCAAAATTTCCAGTCATATGAGCATCTCCAGTGCTCAGGAAGCCTATGTAAGGATTATTATGATTAAATAGTTACCAATTCCTATTTGATTTCCTCTAATACCAAATGGACCCAATCGATAGCTGACTGT